TGCTATGAATCAATCGTCTTCAAAATCAAAACCATCGTCAAACAAACAATCGTGCTGAAAAAAAGACCATGTTCTAAAACGTCTACACACATAACTGTCGCCATAATGTACCTTTACAAATTGTGCTATTTCCAATATTGATTGTAACCCTATAGATAATTGTCAAAGAGTCTCGTTTCAAACAAAATAACCTTAATTTTCTCTGAACGTTTCAATTCGACTAATTATTGACATTTTAGTAACGTCAACCTACCTATTACTTCCAGTCTAAAATTTTACAGTTACGTGAAAAGTATCTTACTGAAATCTTTGCTAACAATGAATTTTACTGCAAATTGATATAAATAGAAACAAGATGATAATTTTCAGTCCCAAATGTTCTTCTATATTTTATTAAAATGCTCCACTCTATCTAACGGAAACATGCATCAATCGATGAATAATCGTCAGTTTGACTGTTTGCGCAAATAACAGCAGCTTTGATGACTGAACTGGCAACTACAAGTTCTATTCTTATGAATCCTAAAATGATGCGAAGGACAATTTTGAAGACGCAACCGATGTGCATATTTTGCTTTCGAAACGTCAACAACCGTCTTCCGTATGGAAGACAACGTTGAACGGTTATTCAACTGAAAGGACACAATGCTCTGTTCAGCAGTCAGTTGGAACGATAATTCACGAATGATTTGTTTGCGAAAATTTCCAATCGATAAGGGCAAAATAATGTAATGATTAGTGAATGGTGTAGTTCATCATTCGACAGAGCGTACTTTCATTAGCTTTTTTTACATGATTTTTGAACACTGAAACAACTGTGAAACAATAGCTCACTTGGAAATGCTGAAGTAACTCGGCAAGTCTCGAGCTCATGTCGCTAGTATCAATCCACGTCTTATATTCCTCTCGTGACAGTGACTCCACAAGAAACTTCATATTGTTCAGCGCATCCATTTTGTCTTCATATTTAAGCGGGTCCCCCTTAAAAAACTTAGTTGAATGTGCCATTATAACTGGCAATACTACCAAATGTATTTTGCTCTGTTATCACCAGATGTGTTGAAAACAGTATTAACAATAGCCTCCAAAAACTAAAACACTTCACGAATAAAAATTGATTTATCACGACAAAAATATTTTGCCAACAAAGACTCCTCGTTGCAATGTTCATATATACACGTAACTTTTCAATGAGAATGAAAACGTCTAATCAACTTCACATCAATGTTCACAGTTTACCTCAAAAACATTTATTTATGTGTTCATTCCTTTTAGCATTAGATATCATATTTTCTTTTTTACGGAACAGTTGATGCAATATTCTTTCCTTTTTTTGCGCGTCGATTTTGACCGGAATTTTGTCGTTTCAATTATTTAAACAAACAAACTTACGCTAACGAAATCAATCCCAAATCCGTCTCATTCTCTACTGAGGTTATGAAGGTTGAAATCAACTATCTTGCATGACTGGATATGTCTACTTTTCTGATAAGTTTCAGGGGTTTCCCATGATGCACAAACGCATAAGAGGTTGCTTGTTTGAAAAGAATTATCTCGAACTGAATGAATACTATGAAAGCATCTACGTATTTTGTAAATGGGATATCACGAAACAGACCACCTTAGCAGCTGTTATCCACCTTATTGTTAGCATGAATGTCTTTTGCTATATGATTAGCATTCGCTAAAATTGACACTCATTACATAGCAAAAATAAACTAATTGAACGCAAGCGAAATTATGAAAAAAAAAACTGTGAAAGCAGTTCATATTCATAATTATATCGCCTTTGATTCAAACCAGTTGGATCGTCGTCAAAATCCAGATGAAGAGCGATAACTTTATGGAGAATCAGTGTGATAGGAAGAAAACGATGAAAGCTACTGTACCAATCAGTCTTATGCTATGCCAGACCAGTAGAGAGATTCTCAGGGAGTGCACATACACGAAAGTCTCTTTGCTAATTAACTAATTTACGCGGGCTATCTTTCTACCAGTGCTGTCAGACCGATTAATAAACCATTCTGATTAATAAGTTTAATCTGAAAACGTTTGATCGCCCTTTCAGATGTTAAATAACAAATTGTTGGTACCTTATTTATATTAATCCAATTGTACACATTATTGTGGTTGTTCTCGAACGCCGAGAATAGTGGAAGTACAGTACTGATGAGTTTGACACGTGCTTGAATGGCTTGATGCATTTTTGGAAAATCAGTGATGCACTGTTCGGAGGAGCCACGCATCTTCAACAGTGCCTTTCTTTCCGATTCCAGCTTTTGTGCCTTTTCTTGGCATTCCTTAATTCAGTGATTTTTCGGATTATTCTGCCTTTTGGTATCACTTTATCATAATTTTTGTGCTGTGGGACAGATAACAATACAAATATGGTAAATGCTGCAAGATTATATATTTACAGTAATTCAAGATTTTTCTCACCAATAGTTCACTTGCTTGTTACTTCCCATGTCCATTTAAAATTCAGAAATCACAAAGTGTTTCAAATACGAACTGTTTCAACACTTTGATAAAATTAGAAACAAATCTTGCTGTGATTCAAACATTTCTTTGAAGTATCAGTTCAATACTTTGACCGCTATTTGTTCCGATGCACATAATTCATATAGAGACAGACCGTTTATGCTATTATTTTAAGAAAGTAAAACAAACTAATTCGAAGATTAATTTTTTCACTACGAGCAATGCTTTGCAGCTAGCGCCAAATTTCCTTCAGTGAATTTAAACTGTTGTATTAAGCAGTATCACAAATGAGGGATGGAATTGTGACGAGACTTCATTAGATCCTTTCGTAATAAAATATCAAGCTTGTTCTATGGGTATATATTCGGTTGTTTGAAACCTTCTTCATGAATAATGCATTGAGAAAATCAAACAACATTCTGAATCAGTACTGTTATGTCAACATGTGAGTCAACGACAACTTTCAGAAGGTTACATACCATACAATAAGCAACCTTTAGATTCATTAACCACTTTCCCGCACTATTAACTGCTAGAAAACACAAATTCTGACCGTAATCGTCTTATTAATGGCTCAGACTCACAATTACTTTCTGATTGTATTCCACATAACACACGAACAGTCATAGTATTCAGCATGCGTTTTTCAAACATTACTTAGAAGTAATAAGGATTCAGCTCTCACTAAATGTAATAATTCATACACATCGTTGTCAGCTTCACAAAATGATAGTTTTATGATACTGGAAAAAGTCATGTGTAGCTTCGAAGACGTTCTTTGTCTTATCAACTAGAAGGAAGATTTTGGATTCCTATAAAACAGATCTTGCAATGCTGATCTTGCAAATAACTGATGCACTTATTGTAAATTTGACTCGGGCAACACATCCAAACGAACGAAACACATTTTGGGCACAAAAATTTTCAACAAATGTACCAATATTTCTGCTTTTAACGCGTCCAACTGTGGAAGATTTGCAACTTTTTTATCGAGTTTTTGCTGAGCCATTTCAGTCCACGATTGCAATTGTGATAGAGCTGATGGTTGTGCTGAAGTTGTGGCACGTGTCGAAACGATAGCAATTCGGGACGTCTTTTCGAGCTGTGATACTGCTGCTCGTGTGCCACTCATCTGTACATCCGCAACAAGTCGTCCTCCCGTCGAATACTGGAATTATACAGCAACTCTTTAATAACACAACAAGAAAAATTCTGATGCAACAAATTGGTGGGATTGATATGTGTATTTTTGCCAATATAAAGGCCGAATGGAATTTCATCAAGAGTATATCGGTTAGAACCATACTCTGTTTAGTGCGTTCATACGATGACGGAGTTCGGCTAATCGGGTGTAAGCCGTTTCACGACCATTTGCACTAGCCATACGGGCAATACCGTCACGTGCGTGTTCGGCACGTCGTAGTAAGTCATTAGCGTCAGCATCTATTAGATTACGCCTTTGCCTTTCTGAACGATTCACTTTTTCTTCGACCTACAATTTGGGTTCGATTTTCATACATAAATTGATCAGCTTAAAAAATTGAGAACTTTATATCAAGATCTTCAGGAGAAACCATCTATTTTTAATGACTAATGAAAGTGAGCAAGCATAAATGGATGGTGACTTTCACATACCGATTTTATTTTTAACTGATAACTGTAATCAAGCAGATAGTTGCTTTGCATTTAAACAAACTTCAAAGAACATGTCAAAAACCCATATGGATTTAAAGTAGGTTTATTATCCATCTGAATCATTTTTAGCTAATTCAAAAGCGTGCATTAGTCAAATTTTCTTATCAAAAAAGCTTGCGGGTCACGAAAAAACAATGCTTAAAAGTTAGGAATTTTGGTACACTTCGTTAATCTAAATGTTCAATCTTTTTTCCTTTATGAATTCTTCATAGAGCTTTCTTCACGAAATCCTTCACGGCAAATGCCTTCATTCTTTTTACAGTTCTTGAAACTTATAAATTGGCCTTAGCGGCCGAAATTACACAACGAATGCGATTTTTCATATGGTTTGCGAGGGATTTGAATACTTCACAGGACATTTGGGGGCTTCTACGGGGCGCAGTTGGTGTCTGTGCGGGCCGCATCCAAGTCAAATCTTAAAAACCGTCAAGGACCGCACTCGAAACCTTCGCAGTCCGCAGGCTGGCCGAGCTTGACCGAAATATTCTTTCTGATGGTTTTCGCTCTCGTAATTATTCACACTCATGAAATGACGTTATCGATCATTGAAAACGCTTCAGTTAGAAGGATTTTTGTAAATGACCCTAGTTAGTTCCAAACGGTTCCGACTTTTCTCCCGTCTTGAACTTATAAATTGACTGACCTTAGCGAGAGAGGATTCAAATTCACGCCAGTATGATAAAAGTGATTCAAGGTAGTGTCGCATTTCAGCGAATTTCTCAAGTACTTCCGCTGAACTTTCTTCGCATTGTTTCAATGTTCGTTCGTAATTTTCGTCCGAAGCTGAAATGAAACAATCTGTCATCTAATTGTAAGTATGGAAACAAATTCAAGAAGTTAGCAAAAGTCAAAATTAATTCAAGACGTCTGCAAAAGTCAATAGCAACGGAAATCAGTGAAGTATGGAAATCATTCAAGTCAGTGGATCGCTGGGTAAAACTGAACCATCACTTACTTTCTGAAGTTGTTTCTTTGAGATGACTAATATATTTGCGTAACTTCTTGTCGGGCGCTGCTTCGCTTTCTTTCTGGAATATTTGGATTGAAATATGCTAAAGAGATATTCATTCCACATATTTGATCACAGTGCATAATTGTTTCAACGAATCTGATCAACGTCTATGGAAAAGTGACAGCTAATATATTACGTATAACCTTATATTCGCCAATCCATCTGGAAACCAACGAAGCGCTATCACCAGATCTCCATAATTCCAATTTTTGATTCAGTGATTCAGTGTATGCAAGGATCCTATAATAGGATTTGAGATGGTGCAGATGCTGTAAACGTCGTGGAGCCTCATGACTGACCGCATCCAGACGAGTCTTCAGAGGTTCCAAGAATTCACCAGCTATCTCACGATTATCGCATCGACGACTCAAATATACCGACTGGAATCGCTCCGCACGACTTGGATAGTCAGAAAAACACATCTTAAAATATACATGACATCATGTGAACCGATTGATGGAATCTTTTAAAAAGCTATCAAACTCTTTACAATTTACAGGAATACCTTTAGTTAATTTGATTACGAGTGTAAATATGAAATATGTAAAATTCGCAACCTAGTGGTCATCCGTTTATAGAGAACTACTAAAAATAACAAGATCATCACAATTACGGAATGAATTATGTTATTGTTGCATGAGGAATTACGTAAGAATTATCTAGAATTGTGATGATTTTGAAGATGTTGCTGAAACACAATTTGGAAGGGTAATAAAAACATATTTTGACTGCGATTACATGGGACGTGAAATCGCTGTCTTCTGGAGATAGTATAATATAATAAGTATCGCATATTTTTTGAATGAATAGAAGGGGATCGAAACGCAGCGATAAAAACTAAAACAATATTGTTACTAAATCACTGAATAAGCCGACGAACTGAATTGAAGAATGGTGTTTAAAAAAGCTGTTTTTGTACTGGCATACCCTGTGCTGCTCAATTGTTTCATTGATTCTTGAATAGGTTTGCTGAGCATCATCAACGCGCAAATCAATCGGTCGTCGGATGATTTCCTCTGCAGTACATAACCATTTTGCCAATCCTGATAATGAGGCCGGCAGTTCGCTTTCGAATCCATGACTTTGCTCAATTAGTAATTCACCAATTCTTTTCCACCTGAATTGACTGACTGTTTGACATAGTCGAAATAAGTACCAAAAGTTAGGTGACTCTAGCCGTGTAATCTGGTTCATTACTAACTACCCAATCAGAACGCAGTTTTGAAGAAGCGAATAGTGATGTCATCAATTCCAGTTGAACTGTTCTATTCCATGGAATAGAATAGAACAGTTTGCAAATGAGGAAGGAACAGTTTGGAACAGAATAGAGCCGTTTTTCAGTCCAGAAAGAACAGAATAGAACAGTTTTCAACAGATTTTGGCTCTTCCTTGAACTGTTCTTATTGAATAGTGCAGTGGGATAAATTGCCATTGTTGTATTATTATTTACAATAATAATAATAATCATTATTAGTATTATTATCATTATCATTACCACTATCACTATTATTTATTATTTTCATTATTATCATCATTATTATCATCATCATCATCATTATTATTGCTGCTAACAAATTTTCATAACTTGTCTCGTCAGGATTTTTTTGTCAAATCATGGATTATAATTATGTGGCTGGAATATGTTTGAGGTTTCTGCAAGGATGGCGGAGAAATAGTTTTCCAAGTAATTCAATGCTAGTAGCTGTTAGAGATTCGAATCCACCAAAAAACGTCATATTCAATATCATTGGGAAGAGAAGAAAGGCTATCAGTGAGAGGTGAAACAACTCATCAAGGGCAAGTTATCGCAGTTAATTCTCAAAGCTGCCAATGACTGTTTGTGAGGAATTTCCTCCAGAAACAACTAAAGGATGCAAATATGCTTCCGAATGAACACCCCACATTCAAATGTTGGTCGTACTCTAAACTCTAGGAGCAATCCATCACAAAAATTGTTCACATTTTACACCTCCAATAAAAGTTCATGCTTGGTGATTTGAGTCCGATTGAACGAATCAGTTCAATCCGAACTCATTAGTATGAGAAACTGCGCATCAGTTTCTGACCGAACTGTTGCAACGAAACATTAATCCTCTGTTCTTTATTGATGTTGGTTACCAAAGCCCGAAACCTTCCGTTTTCCCCAATAATCACGATCAAAAGCTGTCAACTGACTACGTGGACAATCTTATCTCACCCGAAATAATCTCTATTTTGCACTGCAGATGCCGTAAAACCACGTTTCAAACCCTAATTACCACAACTTTTATTGTGTCGCTTTTCTGACTGAAGGGACAGAATAGGACTGTTTAGAACAGTATAGCACAGTTTAAGGGGGTAGAATAGAATAGAACAGTTCTCAAACGAGAAACGCACGGGATAGAATAGAACAGAGCCCTTTTTGAAGCGGAATCGAACAGAATAGAACAGTTTTCAAAAACGTGGTATAGAGACATCACTAGTGACGAGTCACATGAGGCAATGCGGGGATTCCTTTTAATGTCAATTCGCATTGCTTTTTGAGATAGCACGTGGTATTAGGATTTATCTCATCAATGTTGAAAATTTGATTGAAACACAAATTTTATTTTCCAGTTACACATCGAATCCGCTAAGCAACATTTCGGCATCAGCAGTATTAGCACTCAACAACTATTCCATCGTCGTCATCTGACGTATTTTAAAATGTTTGCAAAATCTCCATTACCAACCGGAAGTGGCCGAAAAACCAGCGTGGTCAACAAAATAGCAATGAAGCAAATTATAGGAGTATTTACTTTTTCCTCACAAGACAGACCACTTGAACGGATCAATCTAATTTTTTGGTGTATTGAGTGACTGCATACAGTCTCCTCACTACTCGACTGTTTGGATAAGCGAAGTTCCGAACACAAAGGAATATAGTGTACAACCAGATAAACTGCCGCTATTTCAGGTGTTCCCTCTTTTTAAATACACAAAGAAGTGTTCAACGAATTCCAATTAGACATTAACGATACGTTTCTCGACTATAACATTATTTGCAATGATCAATAAGTGATATTCAAAAACTGACCCGCTCTCAATACGATTCCACTCGTCACGAGGAAGCGTAGTCGACTTTTCACGCAAAGACAAATACGCATGCCTTCGATCGAAATATTCTTTTCTCAAAGTCAGATGAGTCTAAAACGTAAAATTTTCTTGTATATAAGGTAGACAGCGCCACTGATAAACAATGAGGGCTTTTTTAATCAGCCAAAGAAGTCGACCTTTTCATCGATAACACACATTCGATCTTAATCTTTCTCAACAAGATTTTTTGGATACAAGTATAGCTGCAGTTCATGATGAATTAGTTTGCTTTCGCTAACCGAGAAACACTGATTGTGAATATTTCTTTCACTGTTCAATGGCTTTTTTTACTTCCTTTCTGTCTTATCAAAAGCCTGATGTATTACGTGATAAATTATTGTGTTCAAATTGAGATAAATACTTTGAACCAAATGAGTTCCAATCGGATATGAATACGGAAATACAACACATATATTTGTACACAAAAATATTTCACAATTACCAGTCTCGATCAACAGTGCAATCTTTTGAAATATTCTTCATTAATTTACATATTCGAACAAGACGTTAATCATAATGTTTTTGTAGTGGCAATATATACGTTAAATTAACGGCTTCGTAATGGCAATGATAGCTACTATAAGAACTGTCATTGTTGATAATTACAATGACAGTATAATAATAACAATAACATAATAAATGTACGGATAGATATTGATACCTGATATTGGTCCAAAACAGGTGATGTACTGACGTTACGGAGAGTTAGTAATGTAGATTCAATCCATAATAATAAGGATCGATCATCTATCATTGGTCCCGCAGCGATCGGACACATTAGTGAAGGTGATCTGATAAACTGTGAGACATACGTTATTATCGATCGTTTATCTGGTTTATCACACAACATATCTTCAACTTGGAGTAGTGGTCGAATTTGTAGATAATCTTGCGCTAATCGAAATGCCTGAAATTAATACATTAATGCAAATAAAAACAATAAATTCTGTCTCAAAATTTATTCGAAGTTGATAAGTGAAGTTATAAAAACGCCTTTTGAATAAATAAGCCCTAATCAGAAACACAACAGAATGAGCGAGATCGTTCAATGAGACATTAAAATTCACTTGTTCAAGGTTTTCTTTTGGTTCAGCACTTCGTACTTGGTCCATGTCCACCAATTCCGGTTTGGCTCGATGTATTAGGGCATTGAAGGCAATTCCATCTCGCCAGCAACGGTCCATATCAGTGATCTTTATATGGTACGTGCTAAATTTACATTTACTTAATGGTGAATCATTTAAGACTTTCACTTTCATTGACAAAGCAGCATTCACATCAATGTGACGAATTCTTGCATGAAAAAAAGAAAACCTTGCAATAGGCATGTCTCACCTAATCGTCAGGCAAAAAATAGCTCATGAAACAATGAACCTTCAGAACAACTTTATTGGAGCAAACATTGCAATTTCTAAGATCTCATCTCCAGCAAAATGCCCTCCGATCTAGAAAATTGCTTTTAGGTCGGAGGGCATCTTTCTGGAGATGAGAAATTCCGAGTGCGAAAATGGCGCAATATGGTGCTGCGGGTTAAACATAAATTCACCTACCTAGCCTCTACACTGATATTTTGGATAGAAATTTTGCACAGGTTTTTTCTAAACCAAAAAGCATATTCTTTGAATTGAGATCTTGAAAGTTCCGAAAATCGAAAAAAAATTTCACTCTGACACACATACAATAAATAGCAGCGAAAAGAGATGTCTTCATTAACTGAAATACTGGCATGAATGCAGTGAAGATGATTTAACCAGAATATGGATCAGACAAATTTCTTAAATAAACTATGGTAACTGGGAGCAGACATTCACGGAATTAACGAAAGGATGGTAAATTCCAAGTGGTGGAAGCTTCAAAAAGAATTTTTTTAAAGATTCATAAAAACCCACTCAGAGAGTTGTGCATTTACCCAACGCAGAACAACATTCTCAACAGGAGCCTTCAATCGCCCGATTCTCAATCGATGCAATTTGCTGACTGGACTCGTACCAGTTGAGGTTGTTCGTGAGGTAGACGGACTGGCCTGCTCCAGTTCGAAGCCCCATTCTTTTAATAACTGCACATTTGCTTCAATCTGAAATTGCATTATTCAAGTCAGTCTCTCATTCTTTCAAGAACGAATCATTTTAAAATCTGCTCACTATTTGGGAAGGGTTGAAAAACACTACTATGCATTCGTTGCAATCTCACGCTGATTATAATGCGATTTTAACATCAACTAAATATCTCTTTATGAAGTAACCTCTGTTGAGCAACTGCTTCATTCAAAAAGCGAACCTCACCAATATGATATCAATAAACCATTCACTATTTTAACGGTAGTTATGATTTCTACCTAAATTACCTGGAAATGAAGAATGATTTGCCAGATGAGTCCAAGAATGATACGCGGATTGCCATCTGCAATATCTGAAGGATTATTGTTCACCAAATCCAGTCCACGCCTTCGAAGCACCGATAAAGCTGTGGTTAAATTGCTGATATGATGCACTCGTTTCGATATTCTCGCTTTGTTGACTTGCTGCAAATGATTACATCATAAAAGTTCAAAGTACTTCGAATCAAAGTGTCACTTCTGTTCCTTCAACAAATCAGTTATGAAATCCCTGAATATCAAATGAAATAAATTATTTCAATAAAACCATAATTTCTATCACAGAACGAGCAAATGACTCGCCACTTAAACACATGATGTATATCAGCACACTAAAATGTGAATTCTTTATGAAATCCTCATCAAAATCCATCAGACTGACGATGAGCACAATAATCGCCTAATTCAAGCCTAGAATAGGTCACAATGCCGATAACGATAAGTTGTGAGGATGCAAAAACGAACCAATGCTTCGCCTGTAAGAACTTCGATAAGATGACATAGAAGGACTCCATCTTTTAAATCTTCGAACAGATCCTTCACTTGAGATGATGAACTGTGCTAAAACAAAAATCTTTTAGTCAAACAGAACGCAAACATACGAAATATAACCATCTTCATAAATCTGAAGTATTTCCATAGTGAGCCACTCGGACGCACGAATATGGATTGGTCATTCTCATGAATCATTATCATTAAAATGATGCCATAAATGAGATTAATTTCAAAAAAAATGCTCCATTTGAGAAGATTCAACAGAAGTTGAGAAGAAAATAACAGCCTGCTATCAATTCTGAGTTTTAGCATGATTTCTTATCTCAGTTTTTAAAAAACTCTGCGGCGACTTATTGAACACTTGCATGTGTCTTTCATTAGATTCACCCATTTATTCAGCTTGATTTTTCACGAACTGACTTCACTCAACATTCATTTCGATTTATCAGTATACTACCTCCACGACAAGAACTGAAACCTCTTACTTCAGAACGTAACAACTGATTCTTTATATAATTTGAAATAGTATTCACTCTTTCTAGCATCGCGCGCTGCTCCAATTTTTATTTTCTTCAGCCCATCAATAGCTACTTAAGAATCAGTTTTCAATTAGTTTCCGACAATATACGAATATTTCTCTGTCGTGATTTGAAGCCTCATGACTTCAGAGAGAGAGAGAGAGTACTGTTTAAGCAATAAAATATCACATATTATTTGCTAACAATTCCTACTAATTTTTGTATGTCCTTAGTGACATTCTAGCCCAGGAAGATCTAGCACACTCTTTCACACCATACATCCTTTTTATCATAACAAACTCTGCAAGTCAAGTATCCTAATTTTTTTACTCTACTAAATTGTAAACTTTCAATCTTCGTAGACAGAAAAGATCAGTGATCTTTTCAGCAATTCTTTTCCTGTGGTGTTGTAACAGTCGATACAGAATCAGCGGAACTGCATCAGTAAAGCGAAACATTCAAAAGCGGGAGAGAAAGTTGGAAAAATGAACACTTATCCCAGATATTCTGAAAGTTTCTGGTGATAAATCAGTACGATTCTATTCTAATGGAGGAGAACTGTATTTGCGAAATGGTGTTTAAGGCCTCGTAACGAGAGTGACGAAACCGTTTCATCTGCAATTAATGAGAGGCTGGAAGTGGTGAGCGAACAGGTCACATCAGATGGATTCTCGGTGAAAGAAGAAACTAATAAGTCACTAAAAGATTCTTGTGTGAAATTTTCAAAAATACTGAAGTCTGAAACGAGAAAAACCTCTCGATGCACTGCTGCATAAATTGATAAAGAAGGCAATTGCGATTATAGTTATAACAAATATCCTGTTAATAATATGTTCTCAGTTTTCCATCATATCATGGACTCTAAGAACAATCTGTCAATTTTAGACATTCTTCGCTATCATTATACAATAAATTGATGATAGAAAGAATTGGCTCGGCTGGATTTTTCATCAATCATTATGGGAAACCTTGTTTCTGTTCACGAACAAACTGTCAGAACGAACTGCCTTCGCAAAATGAGTTCGCAATTTATGTCTCTATTAGAAATCATTTTGTTTCACTTTTGTGAAACTGTTCTGATCTGTTGTATTTCGCCCTTCAGTTATTCTGTTTCGTTCTTCGTGTCCTTTTTGAAACTGTTCTGTTCTCTCCTTTGGAATGAAACAGGAATACAACTGTTTGACTGGGACAGAAACATCACTAACCCCGAAAAAAGGTCTCTGTACACGCTACTGGACTACATAACTTAGAAACTGATTCGAAATATACGATCATTTTAGCTTTCACAGATGTGATAGACAAACAAATCTTTCATTTATTAATGCGGCTAGGGCTTTAAGAAAGCTATTTTACAAGCAAGTAATGCAATACCGTTACGAAATTTGCGCTTTCGATAACAAATCAATTGAAGATTTTTGGTGATTTTCATTAACGCATTCGTAACGAAGATAATCTCTTTCAAAAAGTGCATTCATGCGTGCTTTGGATCGATTACCGATGAGTTCTGACTTACTGATTTGTTATAGTAAAGTAACATAAGTGCAACGACTTTTTACGCACGGAATAAAATTAAACGACGGCTGATTTACGATTAGTAAAATGCTACATGAAAGGATACATTTGCTGTCTGAAAAAGTGCAGTAGTATGCTTAAAAGATTACCATTGAACAATGATAACTTATGACAAAAAACAAATTCCGTGCTTATGATGATTCTGGGAATACTTTCAATTTGAAAAAAAAACGAAAGTACCAGAATACTTCAAGCTTGGATGGTTTGGATTGTTTGGACACTGGGCGGTTGGTTTGCCGGTCGCTCTAAGCGATCGATAAAGTGTTTTTCATTGCTGCAATTGTTTAATGGACTGGTATTCGGGTGTATTTAATTGTGCAAATGATTAATGGTAACGGACATTGACTGTTGCTTGCTTGTGCAATGCTTGATACGCCGATTGCTACGGATCTACTCGGTTATACTAATTGTTTATTATTGATATTGAAAGATCACTGATTCACTACTGTTAGTTGCTCCAAACAGCTACTCTGCACGATCGTTGGACGAATGTTCAACTGATCAATCGGAATGTATTTTCGGGCTCCATTCAAGTCCCTCTCCCTTGAAATCACTGGACAATATGAAAGAGTGGCCCAAAACTTTTGTGTTCGCCAAATTAATAATCTAAGTTAGAATTTCATGAAGACCGATGATTCCCAATGCTACTATCGTCCGCTACGCGGAAAGAAAAATGCCGAGGATGGAAGAACGTGATATTAGTGATATTGGTGATAACAGAGAGGCATAAACCGAACGTGATATTAGTGATATTGGTGATAACAGAGAGGCATAAACTCGTAATTAATTGGAGTTGCTGATTAAATAAATAAATGAACTCCCAGCTTATAAACTGGAAGGTTTCAACGACAAGAAATTATATTGAATATTCATGAAAATCCATAGATGTGGCTTATTACTGATATCTGATGAAGAAGGAAGCATCCCGAGTGAAATCGAACTCATAAAAACCACATTAATGGTCATAAGATATGGCGGTGGCAAGTGCTGTAGCAGTGTTCAGAAAATCAGCGGTGATCCCTGATTCAAAACTCATGACTCAAAAAGATACAATGCAATTTTTAGGTAATCAACGATTTAGTCTTGAATATGACGAATGAACATCTATGAGGAAAGCTTGGGGAATGCAAATCACCAACGTTTTTGAACAGTACAAGAATCCTAGACACGTGTCATCTTCAGCTGCTAAGATCAACGAATTGATGGGCAATTTATTATGAAGCAGCGATGGTTCTCAAGATCGCTCCAAATGGCTCAAACGCTGCCTTTAGCCATTCACACTCAACCCACATTTCTTTCTTCCAATCATTCCGTTGTAACAGTTGACGTCACCGTCGAAGTTCCATGCGGCCTACGGGAATATCCCATTTCCATCACTATCTTGATGGGAATAACGAAAATAGTTGTCACGAACGAAAGTAGCTGTCACGCTCTCTCTCAAAGAGCGTGACATCTCCTGCAGACTGGTCTTCACTGCAACCCCCCACCGGTTTTAATTATTCCTTCACTGAATTCCTCACCAGGGGAACGAAATAATTAGAGCTTGATTTGAGGTTGTGTAGGTAAGCATATAATGATGAGCGTAAGATACAATGGTGCACAAAATACAGCGCCGGAAGGGAGTGCATAAAGTAGGTTGAATATGGTACGAGAGGAGGATAAGACGATACTTTTGGTAAGATGATCTATTCTGATTTTGCATTATTCTTGATACACATTTATTAATATCAACCCATAAAAGAGCGTTCCTCAACCTAGACATATTAGCTCAATAGCGGATGAAAGCGATTGGTGGATAGGCGAGTTTAGCAGAAGAGTGGCAGGGTGGGCGAAGTTGGAACCACTAAGTGATTTCGGGTTCTGTGTGATGATGCGCTCAGGAACGTTAGGCGCTCCAAAAAGATTAAAACTGATCCCTCAATTTTTCAACGATGTGCACCTTGCGCAACTCGCTCTGGTCATAGTTCTGTCAATAAATTGCTTAATTGGCTTTAAGGATTTGACAAATTTAAACCCCACAAGTTCTCAGTCGTCTTTCTCTGCGTAATTACTCACTTTCTCTAATGGATTCACCCAAAAATACTGCGAACTCTATGAAACATCTCTCCAATTTTGGTTTGTAGTGTTTTGGACTTCATTCTTGACCTTTTTTCATTGTTGCTGAATTAAATTCAACTCTCGATCTGGTTTTCACTGAATTCACTTACCACAGTTCCTCTGTATAATTTCACTTTTCAGTTAATCGATATTCTCCAATAAATTTCTCTAATGAAAATATGGGAAATTCATGCCCCTGCCGTTCTTGTCATCCTGGTTTTAATTGTTGCTGCTTCAAATTATGTTCTTAATTAGTTTTGTCCAATGTTGTTTCAAACATGATCGTTGACCTCGGTTTCACTATTGTTGTTTTTAACTTCATTGGTGCTGTGATTTTCTTTGTTGTCGTTTTGCACCGGACTGTTTAGGTTTTTTGTTTTCAATGATAAATATCATATAATTATCACCACGTTTCTTTTGCTTCTCTCACCATTTTCACGGCTTTTATTGTATATTACGCAATGTCCAAGAGAAGATGCGCGATTTGATTGAGCTGTCAACCAAGTGAGTGAATGGCCGATTGTAAGGTATTTTTATGGGTTTCATTAGATTTGTTCAATAAACTAGGCAGCAGATCAAAGGTCACAGTACCACAGCCCTTCGAAAGTTCTTGGTTGCCAGCCCAAAATACCCATTCCTTTCTCGCCAGAAATCGGAATCGCAGTGCGCTCGAAATTCCACTCCCTCGCCCCTTCCTCGATTTGCGATTCTCCTGACTAAAATCCTACCCTCTCCAAATGTCAATAATCAGCTATTATTGTTTCTAGGGGAAAAATATGTGAAAGGTCTGGCACCAATTTACAAGTGATGTTTTTGTCTAAATTTCCTGAACTGCGTGCAGATGCAAAACGCCTCTGTTGAGTCTTTCTCGAGGACATG